AAATAAAGGCTTATACGTTGTATATATATAATAACACACTCGATCAGCATGTTGGCATATGACATCATGAAACATCAACTCACCTTATTAGATACCACAAATTTGCGCCGATATAGTGTATATTTTTTCACATCCTAAACGTCCATATCTTTATCGGTAATATATAAAGTAAATAACAAGATAGAAATCCATATTCGCCATAAAAAAACAATATTTCTTTGATATGCATTTATAGCGTTATAGGTTGTTTCGCTTAGTATTCAAATATCCCTCGTGGTCTACGCTCGAAAAGCATAATGGGATAAATAGAATAATCAGGCTCTGCGTCAGGCTGGACCATACAATTATCAGTATTAAACCTTTGAATGCTTTGAATTTTCTCACGCCGGATTTCTGTAAATGAAAACAGCATTTTGCAAACATTATATTATGACTTTCTTCTATTTTAATGGTTCTTGACCGAACATGTCACGCCATGCTTGTAAAGTGCAAGTACGAAAAGCTTCATTGTTGACTAGGGCATTTTTACTCATACTCATAATTAGATAAATTAATAAATCATATAATATATATATATATAATATATATATATATATATATATATATATATATATATATATATATATATATATATATATATATATATATATATATATATTTATATATATATATATATATATATATATATATGGGTAAGAGTTATGGTGTTCATGAGGTTTAGAAAACACAAAAACATCCTGATAACAGATCTCAAAAAGAATTGATACGAGCCTCGGATGTTTTACAAGAAACTCGTGTGTTTCTTGACGTTTAGGTCAGCGAAGGTGTCGATTTTAGTGATATCAACGGTCGTACTGTCGTCATAACTGGACTACCATATCCACTGGCTTTTGATTGAAAGGTGGTTTCAATTAACCACCTAGCTAATGCTGTTTTAATATTCGCAAAAGTAAATTGGGAAACGAGTATCTTTTGAATATCTTTCATCCGATAATAGAAATACGCTTGGATTTCTGGTTACTCAAGTTTGATTTATTAATAATATGGCTTTTCAAGATCCTCTACTCTGATTGGTTGGTCGTAAAACACATATCCGTCGGTCAATAATCAGTTATTATTACTCCAACAATCGTAAAAATCCATTATTATCTCTAGACATCTTCTCCAAAGTTCAAAAACATTTTTTTGTTTTCCCTCGCATTTCAGGTGGAATTGAAAAAACAATTCCTAGATGAGGTGGTAAACAAAAGAGAATTTAAGGTTGGTTATAAAGTGGTTCTAATCATTATAATTTTTTTAAGAAATAAACGAAACGAGGAATATGTGGCAATTCGGAACTCCAAAGTTAATTTAGCCCGTGTTCAAATCTCTATATAAATTCGTGACTGTATATAATCTCTGAGTCATATATAATTGTTTATTCCATTACTACCGCAATAGTTTCATAAACTTTTTCTGAGTCAGGAACAAATTTATTTAACTCATAATCGTGTATTTTTATGGATTAAATGGTCAACAATGGTATGGTCAGCGGGCATCTCGAGCTGTCAATCAAGCCATTGCTCGTGCATTTACGTCGTAAAAAAGATTTTGTGACGATTTTGGGTCGGATTACACAAAACTCTGCTAGATGACCCGCATATCCGTTCTAATCTGATACCTAGGCTCATTTTCCAAGGTTCTGCCAAGAAAGAACAAAAGCGGAACTGCCAAAAATGATGTAGCGGTATATTTGTATATATCCGACGTTTGGAGGCCTTCAGAGAGAGTTCAGACGAGCAACTGAATTAGTGAGTTCTTAATTGAACTATAATAAAGAACTATAATAATTTTTACGCCACATCAATAACTTGAAACAGCTTATAAGATCAATGGTTGTACTCTGACGAACATTGCTATCCGTGAATTGGTTAAGTTTTTGAAGAACGAAAATCATGAGAGTAACGACCGTGAACTTACTAAACTATATTTGAGTGGCAATCGTTAAACAGCTGAAGCTGCTAACGATTTATGTGATGCTCTGAAGAGTGGCACCTGTAAATTTACCAAGCTAAATGTAAGAGGCAGTGGTTTAACAGCTCAATGTGCAAAATATTTAAGTGATGCTCTAAAGAGTGGCACCTGTAAACTTACCAAGCTAATTTAGCTAAATGTAAGAGGCAGTGGTAATAAACTGCATGTAAGTGGCAATAATTTAACAGCTCAAGGTGCAAAATATTTAAGTGATGCTCTGAAGAGAGGTAGCTGTAAACATAATAAACTAGATGTAAGCGGCAATGGACTAACAGCTCAAGGTTCTGAATATTTAAGTGATGCTCTGAAGAGTGACAACTGTAAACTTACTAAATGAGATGTAAGTGACAACGCTTTAACAGCCGAAGGTGCTAAATATTTAAGTGATGCTCTGAAAAGTGACAAATGTAAACTTACTAAATTAAATGTAAGTCGCAATGGTCTAACAGCTGAGGGTGCTAAATATTTAAGTGATGCTCTGAAGAGTGACAGCTGTAAACTTACTAAACTAGATGTAAGCTAGTGTCAATGATTTAATACCTGAAGGTGCTAAATTTTGAAGTGCATGATGCTCTGAAGAGTGACAACTGTAAACTGATTTACTAAATGTAAAGTCCTAGTGGCTGCAATCAGTTTAAAACGCGTAAAATGTTGTCAAATGTTCTTGTTGAGCCTTACGACGACTTGTCTCTTGTACAAACAATTTTTTTTTCAAACAAATTTTTTTCCCGATATTTTTGGTCGATTATATTTTGCCCAACTGGATGAGACGTTTTATGAGACAAAAGATAAAATGCAAATTTTCAGCCCAGACTTTCATCGCTCTCTTTCGAATGTGTTAAGTCAAGCTCATCTAATGGATTAGTTCCGCCTTATTACTCGGGCTACCGTAGGTAGCGAGGTTGCCGTAGGTAGACGGAGTTATAAAATGGGCTCGGTTTTTTCTTTTGCGTCGCGAGTTTACAAAAATCACGCGTGGGCGGCACGAATTCTTCGAACCAACCGAAATCGTCCTAGGATCGTTTCTCGCGCGGGTGTCACGAACATGCCATGTCACTACGAGATAACTGTAGCCCGAGTGATCCGTGATCGCCTGAGTAGGCATCTTGTGTTTATATTTCAAAGAAAAGCGATCGCAAAAAGTCGATCAAGCGACATTTTGCACCGTCTGGAAATCCGCCTTAAAGCCTAGTTTCGATAGTGAGTCGTTGTCTTTCGCTACCTGTCGTTTGGAGTAACCTTGAAAGACCAATATACCGATACAGAAAAACCGAAAACGACAGTGTCGTTGGGATAGAAAAAACCCCTATCTCAAAGACGTATAACGACAAGAAACGACAAAATTCTGTCAAAGCGGTCCGGTGACATACAGAAGAATCTAAAATTTATAACAAAAAGTATGGAATATTTACTAAGTAGAAAAAACTTATATGAGCATAAACAAATTTAGTTGAAGAAGAAACTCCTTGCTAAGGGCCTCCTTTTTGTTTTTGGTATAGTGACGATGTACGAACTGTCGTTTTCGGTTTTTCTTTGTCGTTATCGGTCTTTCAAGATTACTCCAAAGACTCCGAAAGACACGTAGCGACAGATAACAACCTTATGGAAACTAGGCTTCAGTAAAAAAAAGCTTTGCTTAAAAAAGGGAATTAGAGTTTGTAGTCTTTTTTATAGTATTCTCCAAATTGTAATTCTAATAAGTATTTTGTAGTTTATTATTGTAATTTCACTAATTTGTATGGTAAATTTCTTTGTATTAATTGAAAGTTGTATGTAAACCAAAACTACGTACGGCCCGATTTTTGGTGGACTGTTCAGACAACCCGATATTTTTTTGACGGGCTTAGGGGGGAGGTAGGTGGCCTGCGTAAAGAAACGTAATGGTGTTTCAACCATAAACAAATTCCCAAAATGAGATTTAAATCAATGGGTTTAAATGGCTGACGAGGAAGCTAAGAAACTTGCTGCTGCTGCTGCTATCTTGGTTGCCGTTACGTTGTGGCGAAAAGAAGAAAGGCACGCAAAGACAGGAAACGTAATATGTGGCAAAAGAGTTGGATTGCCAGAAGAAACGAAAGAGGCGCTTATTACGCCCTCGTCCAAAAAATGAGGCTCGAAGACGAAGAAAGCTAACGAGGGTATTTGAGGATGGACACAAATACATTTGAGGTATAAGCCAAGCCAAGTTAAAAGATATGTGTTTTTAAATTTTCTTTAGTATCAGTTTCGTGCATGTTGGGAAGTCAACAATTTCTGCTTTGATACCTGAGGTGTGCAATTTATAACCAACTTTGAAGTGAAGTTCTTCGTAACACCAGAACTATCAGTCAATCCGGGAGCAGTGAAGTTCTTCGTAACACCAGAACTATCAGTCAATCCGGGAGCAGCAGCCATGTATGCTATCTAATTTTTCGCACCAAATTAAATTTGGAAAGTATGGAGAGTGAAACGTTTCAGACGTTATGAAAACGTTTCAGACGTTTTTAAACAGGGATAATGTGAAGCCTTGCCGTTTCGGTAGTCCAACGTGCAGTGTAATATTATCCCAACACGAGGAATATATTGTCATAGATTGCTTGCATCCGAACCAGCTAGTTTTTGTTGACGAACCAGACATTGTAAGTATATGACACCATTTTATTTCCTTGTATTTAAAAGTCACAACAGAGTGTGTCTCTTATTCAATGTCCTTTAATTCGTGTTACTGTAAGGCAAGCAAATAGTTCAGCAATTGGATATAGTGCTCGAGGAACGAGACTTGTTGTAGACCTGTTGAGATATAAGATATATACTTTGTACTTGTAATTTTGTAACAATTCATATATGTACTTTTACTCTTAATCGAGCCATGTGTTCACCTTGTGGGGTTATAGGGAAACGTTTTTATATAATGCCATCTTAATACAGTAGTCAGTAGATACCAAAACATCCTTTAAAAACCTTTATATTTCAACAATTCAGCGTCAGCTTATTTCCTAAATTAATCAAACTGTTCGCGTTCTTTTGTTAATCCATTAATCCGTTGAGCAGCTTGACTTCTTAAAAAAAAAAAAGGAAAACGTTTAAAATTCAAATCTTGGCTAAGTAGTCAGAATTTTATGAATGAATTTAGGGTCTCTTTATGTTGAGAGAAATTTTAGGTTTTTTCCCGCCGCAATCAATTTCAGTTTGGAAAAGATCAAATTTACCAATTGTGTGAACGAGTTGGAATGAAATATATCTACGTAGACTTTTTAACGTCGTAGCTACCATAGCGTCATAGCTATACTATAGCGTCATAGCTATACTATAGCGTCATAGCTATATCACGCCATTTCAGGTGGATCAAGACAGCAAGGGATAGGCATTCTATATATGGTCTAACAACCGACAGTGGTTGGGTTCCATCACAATTTATATATACATTTCAATTCAGTAGATTTAGAAGGTTCTACGTTCTTAAGATTCTAAACACGAATAAAGATAATATTTCAAAAGCGTCAGAAAGTACACTCACCTTTCTCTCGAAGGTCTTGTATAAACTGACTTTCTGGATTGTACGTATTCAAAGGTTTTCCGTGACTGGCAAGATCCAATTTTAATGCATGCTGACAACTGCAGAAAAGCAACTCCAATAAGAAAAAGCAACCATCTCCTGTCTGTCACACAATTCTTGACTAGATGTTGCTAATACTTCTATACCTGCGGTAGTTTATCTGCGACAAACATTAACCAATATTTCATAAACAATCTCTGCACGAACTCGACTTTCGGTCTAATTACACCGAATACAAAAATTTCGGACATTACGCTCTCAAAACAGATAAATATCAAACAATTATCATGCAGTAATTCTTCGCCTGTAGGCCGTGTTACACCCTCACTCATCGAGTGCGACAACCAAATTTTTTATCACTGATCAAAGAGACAGTAATTTCTTAATCGATAAAAAGATCTAAGGTAAAACACTGAAAAAAAGCTCTTATTCGAGTGGAAATACCGCCTTGGGAATGTTATGACTTAGATTGAGATCTCCACTAAAGGCCGTTCGAGTGAGCTTTTAGAATACAGGCATAAGGCTGTCACAACTGATATCTTAGGTTTAGCATTATAGCTGCTCGCTTTGTTACTCAGTGAATCTCCCAGGATGTTACTGACATCCGGCTGATACCTAATCAAATCCTCTCTTAACTGCTTGCGGTTTTAAAAGTACATATAAATTTCGTTCGATCTTGCATTAACCAGCAACACGGTAGAGTACAATTGAAAGTGAGTTCACCGTTAAGCTTCAGACTGTGATACATTTACACGTTTAATTTGTTTTAATGTTATATACCTAATGTCTTTCATTTTGCATCTGCGATCTAGTTATTTAAAAATATCATCGAACTTACCTGGTTTATTATAATGATACGGCATCAATATTTCTCTCCAAACCCGTTTTGTAAAATTGGTCAGCCTTTGTCTTGCTTGGGTTACCGGCAGCTTGAGATCAGAGTTCTGCTGCTTCAAAACATTCATTTCTTCGCTGGCCCGACGATTCTCTGTTGTCAACTGATAGTGAAGTTGATCAATGTTTAGTTGCTTCTGACGAACCTGGAAAGAGAAAGAGCGTTGATCATCAATAATCGACACAGCTTTCTAAAATCCATGCAGGAATGTAGCACTCGAATACCAGCGCCATTTACACTATAGACTAAATTTATCGGCACGGCACGGATAAAATTGTTACCAGTGCCCAGTTCTATTAAGTTTTCAGGCTATATATACAGGGTGTATAAAAAAATGTCCCAAATGTAAAATTTCCGTTTTTCAGATATTTTGCAGAATTTGGCAAATTTTTGTGTTCCTAGAGATAGTTAAGACTTATCTGGTATATCTAGGCAAAGTTTGGTTTTTCATTAACAAAATTATGTTACCGGGGGGGGGGTTCCTTTCCACTGATATTGAGAGGGCTTGCGCGTGAAAATGTGAAGCTGAAATTGAGATATTATTTAGCTGTATATAAGAGTAGGAAAGCTTTTTAATAAAGTTTCAGGAAAAATAATACATACTGGTAGCAACGCGCGACCCCTAAAGGTGACAAATATTTCATTGCGCGCAGTGGATTAAATGCATCGTTGATTTTAGCGTGACCGATCTCATGTAAGGCTGGGCAAATGAATAAATTAAAGCGAGAAACTGAACACAAAAACAAAGCGATTTATTCGTGATGTTAACCCTCAGCATGTCCACCATTTCATTCTACGCTTGTCTGAGCATGCTAAACACTGAACAGTGGACCGTTTGTCTGTCCATTCGCCTAGATTTGCCGGTGGTAGTGTAGGCGATTTGCAAGAAAGAATTTCGAACGAAATGGATAATTTGAGGCAAGACAGACAAATGGTTCGCCGTTCAGTGTTTACCATGCTCACACGAGCCGCAGTTTGCTTAGAAAGAAATGGTGGAAATGTTGAGGATTAACATCACGAATAAAAATCTTGTTATTAAATCGCTTCGTCTTCTTGTTTCGTTTCTCGCTTTAATTTATTCATTTGCCCACCTTGTATGAGATCGGTCACGCTAAAATCAACCATGCATTTAATCCACTGCTTGCAATAAAATATTTGTCACTTTTAGGGGTCACGCGTTGCTCCCAGTTTGCATTATTTTTCCTGAAACTTCGACATATTATTAAAAAGCTTTCCTACTTTTAGACAGGTAAATAATATCTCAATTTCAGCTTCATATTTTCGCGCGCAAGCCCTCTCAATATCAGTGGAAAGGAACATCCCCCCGGTAACATAACTTTGTTAATGAAAAACCAAACTTGGCCTAGGTATACCAGATAAGTCTTAACTATCTCTAGGAACACAAAAATTTGCCAAATTCTGCAAAATATTCTGAAAAACGGAAATTTTACATTTGGGACATTTTTTTGATACACTCTGTGTATATATATATATATATATATATATATATATATATATATATATATATATATATATATATATATATATATATATATATATATATATAATATATATAGTATAAATGTCAAGGAAACAAGGCAAATTACTCAAGAAAACTATATCACCAGAGAAAAACTTACTGTGTTACCAGTTTTGCCCAGTTCATGGAAACAAGGCAAATTACTCAAGAAAACTATATCACCAGAGAAAAAACTTACTGTGTTACCATTTCGTAAGGTTTTTAGCTCCGGTTATTAAGCCTTAGACTACATTTGCAATAGCGACTTACTTGTTTAGCGTTGGCCAACATTTCTTCTTTTTCCCGAGCAAAGCGATCCAATTCGGCATGTTTCCTTTTAAAATCCTCCTGTAAGTTGTCTCCCATCTCCTCATATTTTCCAGTTGTGCTTCGAGATCTGTGACCTTATACTTATGAGTGTTTTCCAAATCAGAAAGCATCCAATCTTTTTCTTCAAGCACCTTCTTCAGCTCCCGAGTTCTCAGTTCTCTCTTGTCGAGTTCCTCTTTACATCGACGACTATCACATCGCATTAACTCCAGTTCTTTTGTTAAACTTCAGATCTAAAAAAACCTGTCAATTATTAAAGACAAGTGACAATGATCGACAAACCATCCCACAAAGCACTTTCTAGATATGTACTTTAAACCAAAAGCCTAATTTATGACGGGCAATTAATTTATACGTTTGGCTCGGTAGTCTCGTTTGACCAAATGCACTCGTTTAAGCATCTAGACTACATAGGTAAAATTTAGCTCAGAGAGCGAATTCCTAAATTCGTCAAGAAGTTAGGGAAAAAGCGAAACCTTGTTGGTAGCAAGATAGTTTAACTGAGGAAAACAGTTACACACACACCTTGTATGTTTACAATGCACACATGTAATATTCTTAGTATTAGTCATCCACAAAATGGCCTTAAACAACTGGTCTATGTGGTGAAATAGTTTAAAGCCACAACATGTAGTGTTTAAAGTGCACAGGAGGTTTTTTGGAGAGAGATGAAAAAAAGGTCCAAGGAGAAGGGAGCTTCAGTAATAAAATGGTGGTAATATTGTATTTGAGGTATATATTGGCAAATGGAAAGCATGCAGATAGGCCTGTAATAGTTGTAATGAGTATAAATTATTACCTTAAGGTCATTTGACAATAAGAGACTTCTTGTTTCATCCAGTTTTGATCGATATTCTTGTTCTCTTTTTCTTATTGCTTCATCAAAATTACTGACATTTTCTGGATGACGAAACTCACAATCTTTTTCTGTTGCTCTAAAAAATCAAAATGTTGATTTTTAACCAATATTTTAAAAAATGCTTTATTAACATAATCACTGTAACTCATTGTTAATTATAGCCTCAGTAAGTTCTCAAAGTTCATAATTGCACATTGGCATACATTGCATGTAATATATCTCTACTGATACTAAAAGGTAGTTTACAGTGACTTCTTCACATCATTCTGCTTGTAACAATATGGGTAGACTACTTGATTTAAAATTTCTGAAATTTAGCACATTTTTTACTTTTCGGAACATAAACTCCAGCTCTCATTTAGAACTATAGCAAACCAAAATAGTGTCAACTATTCTGACTGCTCTTGATATTTTTAGAAATGTAGTGAGTGAAAATGTAAACAAGGTGTTTGTTTAAACATGGTTTACATTAATTAGCATCAGTGTACCCTACTTTAGAGTTCATTAATTATGATCACCTAAAATTTAAATGTCTTTAAGAGCTCTGATGGTATTCCAGTTACAAACAATGATTGCATGAGGTGAACTAGATTACCTTAATTGTAGCTCCAGATTTTTCCGATAAGACGAAAGCTCCTCCCGTTCTTTAGCAACTACATTATCTTTCTCTTCTTGAAAAGCTTTAAATTGATTCTGATATTCTTGCAATCTCTAGACATAATTAACCATATCATTTGTTGAACATATCAGAATTAAACATATAGCTAGTGAAGAAAGACAAGCAGAAGAGAAAGCTTGCAGCTCAGCTGCAGCTATTCTGGAACAGTTCTAATTATGCTTAATGGCTGCCCAGTTTGTTCTCAGTCAATTACAGGGTTGCTTTTCGTTGCTAGCTATATCACAGGATAAATTTATTCTTGCACATATGTACACGTATACAGCACAACTATATGTAACGATTGAAATTCAACAAAACTTCATAAACCTTATCGGAGGACTAACTACATAAGGCAACGAAAGGAGTGCCCCAATTAGTGAAAAATTGTTGCCTGCTTCTTGTCATAACAAAGTAAAGTGGGTTTCTTTTTTAAATAAAATTGTTGTGTAACATTTATGTTTTCGTTCCTATACAACAAAACACTTAATGTACACTACCTTTGGAAATAGTGAGTTATGTTTTCCCTTCAGTCAGACTCTTGGAAAAACAAAATTCACCATTTCCCTCGGGAGCATACATTAAGTGTATATTACACAATTGTAACTTCTCTTCATGTAAATATAAGACAGTTAGCTTTTATATATTTATCTTTTATCAAATGTAATTAATTTCATCTTCACAATTTAATATTAGACACCAATGTCACTATGTTCAACTATATTGCACCAAGCCATTGCAACTAGGGGTTTAAATTAAAAAGCCTGTTAAAGGTTTTAACAGACTCCTAGCTCAATTAATTTTATCCTGTTTTCATTTAAATATTTTTGTATGCAGAATCGATTCATCAAAATAAAAAAATTAAAAAATTTACCTTTTGGTAGTGTTTCTGTAGCTCCTCTTTGGACTTCTGTTCATTTTGTAATTTGATGTTGAATTCATCAATCTTCACACACAATTCACTAACTTGAGCAGTCTTAACGTGCTCCTCTTCCTTAACTTTACCAATCACCGTATCATATTTCTCTAACTCTTGATCTCGTTCTAATATAGGTTTGAAGTTATACTCAAAATCATCCTTCAACTTACGAAATCTCAACTTTTCCTAGTGTCTGAACTCCCTATCTTTTTCAGCTATAGTTTCTTCCAGTGCCTGAACTCTGAGTTGAGAAGCTTCACGCCATTCTTTTTCCTTCTGTAAAACCACGGAGTCTGAATCGTTTGCAGACATTGGTATTTGCAGCATATTAATAACACATTGAGTGCACGAAGGTCATGCCAACTTCAGCACAGTTTGCTGATATATTTCGACAGTTTGCGATTGTTTTGCGGCGGACAGTACATCTAGTATAGTATATACAGCGATTAGCCCGCCTATTTAAGCTTCATATTGTGCTAAAATACATTCATTGAAGAAAAATTTCTAGTTTCTATATAATATTTTTCTTTGATTTGGTAAAGCTGTTTTGTGCATTGATCGCCCCACGTGTGTCACGCAAAACTACGCTGGTCCCGCGTGGTCGGAGATTACGTAAGAATAGATACATAGGCGTACATACGCTTTGATCAAATTTTAAAATCCAATCCTGGAAGTCAACCTGTTCATACGATCCAATTTTGTCGGATTGAATTCACTTCTGATGAAAGTT